CGAGGTCTTTCCTAAATGGCCGAGTTATGTATTCCTCTGGGCTGGGAAGTGACTAAAATATAGTCCTGGTTCATAGTTTTGATGAACAATTTTTCATTCGAGATTCATGATCAATTTCTTTTGCATGAAATGTCTCGGAAGATGTTTGATCTTATGAGACTTAAGACATTTCATTTCTTTCTAACCCAAGAGTTAATGCAAGCAACATTATTAAAAGTTTAATAAACAACTTTATTTGAGATAGTCATTGTTAACCCCTACTGTTTGGGTCGACTAGAGCTTGCTTTTACTCAACATCTATTCAGTTTTTTTTTCATCTGTTCAGTTTTTTTTCCTGAATAGTTTTTTTTTTTTTTCCCTGAATTGATGTATTTCAACTGCGTAATTCCATTAAAAATGTTTGCTTATTTACTCGATCAATTGCAAAAATGTTTACTTTATTGTATTGTGTTGGTTTGATATGTTTTTTTTAAGTGTACATAATTTTGTGTGTACAGAATTTTGTGATCTTTTCACTTTTTGATCTATTATTCCAGGTTTTGCAAATAAAATCTGCTATACTAAATTCCTTAAAGTTTGAAATGACAGCCCCGACATCCTAATTTTTTTTTCCCTGCAAGTTGATGTTNTTTTTGATGATGGTGGGTGGTTGGTTTTCGGTGGTGTTGGGTGGCTGATGGTTGGTGGTTAGCGGTTGGTGGAGGTGGTGAATTTTTGGGTAATACCAAACATATTTTTTATTTTTATTTTTATAATTTTTAAAATATAAATGACTACCAAACATGTTTTATATTTTTAATTTTTATCACAACAAAAACAAAAAATTGTTTTGATTTTTTTTATAAAAAAAACATAAAAACAAAAATGTTATCAAATGCACCCTTAGTATATATATTTATGTCATCTACCAAATATGATATTAGATTAGATTTATGATTTAATCATATGTGATAATGCACAAAAGTAGATTGATGCACAATCAACAGTCGAGAAAGTAATATGGATAATAAATGCAGTAAATATAAAGGTAAAATCAACAAAGGCAACACACAAATATAGAATGGTTCGATTACGGTGACCTTCTTCACTTTGAAGGCAACAACGGTAGCCGGAAGACTTTATTGAAAAAGTAGTTGAGGGGAGAGCACGAGTAAGCTCTAGATGTGGTAAGGCAGCCACGAGGGAGATAGTTGTGTGTAGGATGTAGATATGTGTCTCTCATGTGTAAAGGACTTACAATTTATAAGTATAGAGCCTTAATTGAGGTGATGGCGTGTAAGAATATGTAACTAGTCATTCGGGGAGGATAACTACAATTAAGAATAAGTATAATTAAAGATAATTTTATCTTTGAGTAGTAGTTATCCCGATATTTACTCTCCACATGCGCTAATCTTTTTGGACTCCTCAAACTTTAGACTATATCGAATCCATGAGTTGAGTTAGACCTGCTTTGTAGTTAATTTGGATTTACTTAATTAATTGGACCTGACCCAGCTAAATCTGGGCTCAACGGTATGTAAAAATCCCTTATATTGGATTTGAAAGGGTTTCTTAAAATCAATCCAATCCCCCCCCCCCCATGTTGATAATGCAATTTGGTGGTTAAATTTAGGGTTATAGTTTGGTTTTATAGTATAGATTAAATCAAATTTGCTTAAATTTTAAGTTCGTATTTTAAACGGGCCAAATCCAAATGATAGGTGACTCAACTTCAATAGACTCTATTCAAAAGAATTTTGGCCCAGTTTGAAATAAACTTTAGTGTATAAATAAATTTATTTTTATTGTTAAACCACTATCCGAAAAATAACCCCTAAACTAATTCNCTTCAATAGACTCGATTCAAAAGAATTTTGGCCCAGTTTGAAATAAACTTTAGTGTATTAATAAATTTATTTTTATTGTTAAACCACTATCCGAAAAATAACCCCTAAACTAATTCAACCTAACTTTCAAATGTATATATTTTTGTTCTCCATTTCTTATCTAATAGATTATTGGAAGTTTTAAACTTCTAGAATTTGATATCATGATTGAATATACGAATTGTTGTGAATTCTAAATGAAAAATTGAATATGAAATTTTTAGTGTTTAACTATTAAAAAATTTATCTGAGAAATTGAGCTCGATTTTAACTCAGATGCTCATCAATCTATATTGAGCTTTAGGCAAAATTTGACCTCAGTTCAGACAATTGTAAACGAGTTAAAACACCAGCATATAATTATAGGTCGATACATTTTACTTTAGCACACAATTAGTTTTGGGTAGGGGCATTCTTTCAACCCTTTTCATCCCAATATAAAAGTCTAAAAAAATCCCATGTTTTTAGGACATTGGCATCATCTGTCGTGGCCAAGTCTCAAATTATTATTTTTTTTGGTGGTCAAGAGTATTTGAACTAACTTACACACACTTCAATTAATCACCTTACTAGTCTGATTAAAAACAAACCATCAATGCAAGGATTAGAGTATTCATGAGAGACAAATCTCTCATAACTAGACTCTCAAGTGATTGTCAAGATTAGGACTTAAGACGTCTAAATTTACAGTCCGTTNGACTCTCAAATTATTATTTTTTTTGGTGGTCAAGAGTATTTGAACTAACTTACACACACTTCAATTAATCTCCTTACTAGTCTGATTAAAAACAAACCATCAATGCAAGGATTAGAGTATTCATGAGAGACAAATCTCTCATAACCAGACTCTCAAGTGATTGTCAAGATTAGGACTTAAGACGTCTAAATTTACAGTCCGTTCGTGTTACTACTTAAGCTAGGTTGGTACGATAGAAAAATGGAAGAATGAAAAGTTAGAAGAATAGATAAAACATTATGTTTGGTAAGGAAGAAAAATAAGAAGGATGAAAAAGTTGATGAATGAACTTTCATTCCAACTCATCAAAATCAATTCCTCCAAAATTGAAAGGAAAGTGAATGAAAAGTTAATTATTTGTGTTAAAATGTATCTTATTTGTCTATATATACTTTGATATATACATATATATTATATTTATCAATTATATATTATGTATACATTAATTTTTTGTAGAAATACAATGGTGAATTTTTAAAAAAAAATTAAAAATTTAACAATTAAAAACAAAAAATAATTTTTTTTTTCATCTTACAAAACACAAAAAAAATTAATCATTTTTATTTTTTATCCATCCTGTCAAATATAAAAAAAAGAAAGTGTGTCATTATTATGCTTCTTTCTTAAAAGATATAAAGCGTATTTTTCATCCTTCTCACTCCCTATTTTTCTTACCAAACGAAACATTAGAGTTAAGCCAACTCCCAATTGAGANCAAACACAAAAAAAATTAATCATTTTTATTTTTTATCCATCCTGTCAAATATAAAAAAAAGAAAGTGTGTCATTACTATGCTTCTTTCTTAAAAGATATAAAGCGTATTTTTCATCCTTCTTACTCCCTATTTTTCTTACCAAACGAAACATTAGAGTTAAGCCAACTCCCAATTGAGANACAATTACTAGTTATTATATATTTGAAAATAGTTGGATCGGAGTGAAAAAAATATGTAGACCCCACAATATAACGTGAAACCAGATGCACTTTGAGAACATTATCTTTTGTCTAATGAAGTATTTGATTTGGGAGNGAGTAGCATTGTTGCATACCAAACAAGTTCATTATAAATGGTTACATACCCGATGAGGCAACTCAGCACACTATGAGTCATTTTGGTCACACATTTTATTATTATATATTTGAAAATAGTTGGATCGGAGTGAAAAAAATATGTAGACCCCACAATATAACGTGAAACCAGATGCACTTTGAGAACATTATCTTTTGTCTAATGAAGTATTTGATTTGGGAGTTGACCATAGGACCCAAAAAAAATAATTTTGGTATCATATTTTTATTTATAATATTTGTGATTATTTTTATCATATTTATAGGTACTTTTATTATTGTAGTAGTATCTAAAAAAATAATAAAAATAATTACCACAATATTGATAAAAACATTTATAAGTGTGATAAAAATATACACAAATATGATANTGCCCAAATCAAACCCATTCCCTACATACCCATTTCCTCTGCCATGCCTCACCCCAGACAGCAACCCAGACCNAGTAGTATCTAAAAAAATAATAAAAATAATTACCACAATATTGATAAAAACATTTACAAGTGTGATAAAAATATACACAAATATGATAAAATATCCACAAAAATAATAATTTTTTTTGTATAAAAGAAACGTGATAAAAATACTCATAATATTGGTAAAAATACCCATAAAAAATTTAAATCACNTGTAGTATCTAAAAAAATAATAAAAATAATTACCACAATATTGATAAAAACATTTATAAGTGTGATAAAAATATACACAAATATGATAAAATATCCACAAAAATAATAATTTTTTTTGTATAAAAGAAACGTGATAAAAATACTCATAATATTGGTAAAAATACCCATAAAAAATTTAAATCACTCACAAAAATAATAAATTTTTTACTTATAAAATGATCCATAAAAAATATAAAAGGGCCCTTTAAAAATAGTAAATTTTAGAATATAAAAGGGCCCATAGTCAAATGCTTTGATTTGATGTAAGGACAAATTAGTAATTTAATTCTAACCTCAATTCACACATTTNTAAAAAATTTAAATCACTCACAAAAATAATAAATTTTTTACTTATAAAATGATCCATAAAAAATATAAAAGGGCTCTTTAAAAATAGTAAATTTTAGAATATGATACTGGCTGTCTTTTGTCCACACCATAGTCAAATGCTTTGATTTGATGTAAGGACAAATTAGTAATTTAATTCTAACCTCAATTCACACATTTGAATAATCTCATGTTCATGGGGACTTTTTCAAATGGGCCCGGATTTCTATCCGCTCCAAGAGCAAAGTGGGCCCCTGACCTTTGTTTTACCCAATCCCACATAGATATCCGACCGTATCCCAATTCCGCCAACCAAACGGCCCCTCTACATTATGGAACGCCATCTGGTAAACAAACTTCACTCCGATCTGAACATCAACCAACTCAAGCAAGTTCATGCTGTCGTTATCACACATTACCCAAACCTCACACCATTAGTAACGAAGAAGCTCTTGAGTCAATCTTGTGTTGACTATGCTTGCAAGGTGCTTGATCAAATTCCTCAACCAGATCAATCGCTACATAACTCTATCATTTCCACTTACGCCAGACTTTCTTTGAACAAAGAAGCCATACAAGAATTTGTTTCAATGCATCATCAGGATGCCCAGATGGATTGTTACACTATTCCACCAGTTCTCAAGTCTTGTTCCTCGTTGCATGCCAAAGAATTAGGAAAACAGGTTCATTGTTTGGTTACTAATTCTGGGTTCGGTTCCAATGTCTATATTCAGACTTCTTTGGTTGATTTCTATGCCAAAATTGGAGATGTAAACTCTGCTAAGCGGATTTTTGATGGGATTTTGATTAAAGATCCGATTTGTTATAACTGTTTGATATCTGGATATTCAAAATCTGGGGATGTTTCAACAGCTAGAAAGCTTTTCGATGAGTTAAGTGAGAAGACCATTGTTTCTTGGAATGCTATGCTTTCATGCTACGCCCATAATGGGGATTATCTTGAGGGTTTTAGAATTTTTGAAAGAATGCAGGTGGAGAATTTTCGTGTTGATGAATTTACTGTGGTGACTGTGCTTTCTATATGCGCTAAACTTGGGAATTTGAATATGGGTTTGAGAGTTAAGAAGTTTATCGATGATAACAAATTGTGTTCTAATATGATAGTTTCAACTGCTTTGTTGGAAATGTATGTGAAATGTGGGGCGGTGGATGAAGCACGTCATGAATTTGATAGGATGGTAGAAAGGGATGTGGTTTGCTGGAGTTCTATGATTGCCGGTTATGCTCAAAATGGGAGATCAAGTGAAGCATTAGAGCTTTTTGAACAAATGAGAAGTGAACAAAGTAAGCCTAATGATGTCACGCATGTGAGTATTCTATCTGCTTGTGCTCAATTGGGTTCAGTGGAAGCTGGTGAGCACATTGGCAGCTATGTGGAGGGCCTCGGTTTAGATTCAAATGCTTATGTGGCCACTGCACTTTTGGTTATGTATTCCAAGTGTGGAAATATAGGAAAAGCTCGTCAAGTTTTTGAAAGGATGCCCCAGAAAGACGTTGTTGCTTGGAACTCAATGATTATGGGGCTGGCAATAAATGGATTTGCAGAGGATGCCATTGCTATTTATGATAAGATGAGAAAAATTGAAGTTAAACCAGATGATATCACTTTTGTTGGGCTGCTAACAGCCTGCGTGCATGCAGGACTTCTGGAACTGGGTCTTGAGTTCTTCAGAACCATGAGAGTGGAACATATGATTTCACCCAAGATAGAGCACTATGCTTGTATTGTAGACCTTTTTTGCCGTTCGGGGAGACTAAAACAAGCTTATGATTTTGTAGGCCAGATGGAAGTTGAACCCAATGCTGTGATATGGGGCATTTTATTGAGTGCAAGCAGGATTCACTTGAATGTAGAGCTTGCAGAGATCTCGGTCAACAAATTACTAGAGCTAGAACCAGAAAATTCTGGAAACTATGTCCTTCTTTCTAATATCTATGCCAGTGTGGGCAGATGGCAAGAAGCCCTGAAGATGCGGTGCTTGATGCAAAGCAAGGGGTTACAGAAAACAGCTGCCTACAGTTGGATAGATTTGGAAAATAAGGTGCATAAATTTTTAGTTGGAGACACATCCCACCCTAGATCCCATGATGTCTACAGCGCTGTGGAGGATTTGGCATTGCATGCAGCTTGGCTTACTTATGATTTTGACTCAGAATTACTGTTTTCATGAGAGGCTTGGAACCAGGATATGCCTGCCAATGCAGGTGGTAAATTTTTTGATGTTTGTTAGTGGACAGCCTTTGTTACTGCTGGCATAATCCAATAAGATCTAACAGCTAGGAATGTTGTATGATTAACCTGTCAAGCAAAAGAAATACCTTCTTCAACTAAGTGAGGTATTTGGCTTCTAAGACCATGGATTATGATATTTGAAGCTGATAAATTTTTCGTGCATGTTGCACTAATCTGATAAACTGTGAGTTCAACGGACATTCTGGAGCATAGTAACTTCATTAACAATAGCGGCGAACATTATGGGGGCTATGAAGAGGAACCAGCTCAGATGCTAAATATCAAAGTACAGAATTAGTTTTGATGGAACTTTTCTGCAAATCCCTCGATTGCCACTTAGTCTGAGTGTTTTTGCATGTATCAGCAAGGTGATTGATGCCAACAGCGGATTTGCACCAATTGCATGTGGCGATGAAGGAAAATGTAAACTCTTATATGGACCATATCAAAACTTATGATGACAAATGAGGTACTATCACTCATTCGTTTGAGCTGCTACTAGTATTTTGTTGTCAGACTCTTTGAATGCTCAAAAGATTTTTCCATGGGCTAGTCAGTAATTGCGCAAGAAGCGTGGTCATTTCTACTCTGGTGTTGCTGTCACGTAACATGGAGCCATGTTTTCAGACAATTAAAGGCACAACCTGCCAATCCATTTTGGCTGGTGCTAGCTCTCATTCTGGTTGCCTCAGTAGGTTTCACTGCCAATGGTTTCTGGTTTTATCAGGAGGGATTGACCAAATTGGGTTAAGGAATAGATTTCAAAACTTAATTAGATATTGTAGACTGCATTCTTTATTAAGTAAATAAAATCATATATCTTTTCGTCATCATCTGTCAATACTTGAAACTATCATGAAATTNTATATGATGGTTTTGAACCATGCCAAATTGGGTTAAGGAATAGATTTCAAAACTTAATTAGATATTGTAGACTGCATTCTTTATTAAGTAAATAAAATCATATATCTTTTCGTCATCATCTGTCAATACTTGAAACTATCATGAAATTTTATTGTAATCCCCTGCATCCTAATACTTAGGTTTCACAATACTGATACAAAGCCTTTGCTTTCAAACAAGTACGATTCAAGATCCAACCAAATGCTTACGCATGCCGTACATGTTGGCCGACATGCTGTCCTCCTCTGGAGAGGTGAGATGGGTTGGGATTTCGTTATTACAACGCTGTTGCAGAAGAGTCTAAGCCTGTTATCTAGAAGTCACACGGGACACATCCACTTCCCAACGAAAATTATGGTGTGATAAGGTCTGCATCTTAGGTGCATCTATTTCTCTATGACTTGTCAATAACATTGAAAAAATTCATGGATAAGGCAAGGGGAAATTTCTAACCACGTTTTTTTTCTTCCTTTTGACTAGTAGGATAGTTCATATCATGGAAAGGTCACCATTAATGCCAAGTCTACATTGACAAATGAGAATGCTGTAATCCATTTTCTGAGGATGTAGTCCCCAGCTATGTAGTCGTTTGTCTGATATATGTAAGTTTCAAAACTTATTTAGATTCCACATTGGCAGAGGCTCGTCAGACTGTACAAAACTGAGGTTAATTTCAAAAAAAGTAATAACGAATCACCGTCTTAACTATGTGTACAATATGGATTGTAATTATCTATATACCATGGTATGAGATTGACTAGAGTTACTCTAAACATTCCTTTGTGATTTGAAGGGAATAAATAATCTTTGAAGCCCTTCCTTCACATTGATGTGGCTCACTCGTTCTTAGCATTTCAGTTTCACACTTACAGAAACTTTTTAATTGACCTGCCCAACACACGTGCTAGACGAATGATCATATCATATCTTTCACCCATATATTGCGCTTTTACCTTTTCAAAAGCATTTGCCTAACNCGACCTGCCCAACACACGTGGTAGACGAATGATCCTATCATATCTTTCACCCATATATTGCGCTTTTACCTTTTCAAAAGCATTTGCCTAACAATGTATGATACATTGTGAGAGTTAAGTTTCCCCTTTTTGTCCAGATTCATATCTCTCTCTCTCTACAAATACGTAAATGTGGGCATAAAAATTCAGTGTTCTCTCTCACCAGATCCTTATCCATAACTATCTGCTCGCTCGACTTTATTGTATAGATATAGTGGTGATCAGTTGTAGCAATCTGTTTTCGATATCTTGCATTCGCAATGGCTAATATGTCTCTAATATGTCTCTTTCTTATGATAGCTTTGTTGTTTGTAAATGTCTCTGAAGCCGAGGAAGAAATAAGGGTGTATGAGCTGAAGAACAGAGAATTCTCCGTGAAGATCACCAACTATGGTGCAACTGTTCTCTCTGTCATTCTCCCTGATAAGCATGGTATAGTCTGTCTCACCTCTTCTTTTTTTCCCCATTAGAATAATGATGAATATTTCATTCTTCTGTTTTCAAATTAAAAAAAAAAAGGGCATTATTGATTTGAGATCTGCTACTTTGGTGCTTCACTGTTCTCTACTCTCTCATTTTTTACCAGGAAAATTTAATGATGTTGTTCTTGGGTATGACTCCATTGAGGGGTACAAGGTCAGTTTTATAAGCTTTCCTTCTCCCTCTCCCACTCTCCCACGTCCCCTTCTCTCTCACACAGATACACACAGCAGACAAAATAGACCAAATTAGATTACAAACATTTTTTTTAGCAATACTTGTGATCCAATAGAAGAGTACTGCTANTCTCCCACGTCCCCTTCTCTCTCACACAGATACACACAGCAGACAAAATAGACCAACTTAGATTACAAACATTTTTTTTAGCAATACTTGTGATCCAATAGAAGAGTACTGCTACGTTTACCAAATGAATATAAATTGTTGGATCAACGGTTCATATTAATTTTTTTTTTTTTTTTTTTTACGGACTATTGTAGTTTTATCAGTACAGTAAAGCACTTAAGGCCTAACCACTGCGCTTACAATTTTTACACCATCTTTGTAGAATGATTCAACCTACTTTGGAGCCCTAGTTGGACGTGTTGCTAACAGAATTGGAGGGGCTCATTTTACTCTTCATGGGATTCAGTATAAGTTACCAGCTAATGATGGGAATAACACTCTCCATGGTATGTTATATTATAGTAATTTAGTTATAATGAATTTTTAAACTTAAATCCAAAGTTTCTTATAAAAATTCAAGGGTAATTCTACAATATCAGAATAAAAATTGTAGTATCGGACCGAGAAGCACTATTTTTTGAGGTCAAATTACATATTTTAAAGATGAAATTACAATTACTTGAGATAATGGTCGATTATGAGTACCCTCTCATCAGTTGTGACTTTATTTTTAAAAAGTGTAATTTGACCTAAAAAAAAAGTAATAACTTTTATTGCTTTTCCAGTTATAACTTTTGTCTTAAAAATGTGTAACTTGATCCGAAGAAGTAATAAATTTCAGTAATAGTCTTCCTCAAAATTCAAANGTAATAACTTTTATTGCTTTTCCAGTTATAACTTTTGTCTTAAAAATATGTAACTTGATCCGAAGAAGTAATAAATTTCAGTAATAGTCTTCCTCAAAATTCAAAATCTTGGCTCAATTATAGGAGAGGACTCCAGTGTCAAAAAAAAAAAAAAAAAATTTGACACTGTGCCTCCAATTTTGACTATTTTAATAGATATTTTTATAATTTTTGTGGGTTATTTTACAAAAAAAAATAAAATACAATTTTAGTAAGTGATTTACAACCGTATCTTCAAATTTACGATTCCTAATNTTGACACTGTGCCTCCAATTTTGACTATTTTAATAGATATTTTTATAATTTTTGTGGGTTATTTTACAAAAAAAAAAAAAATACAATTTTAGTAAGTGATTTACAACCGTATCTTCAAATTTACGATTCCTAATATTTTAGGATTGATTGCAAGGTACCACAAAAGTGGTAAAAACAATAGTCACAAAAGTGATAAAAATACCTACAAAAATTATAAATAATAGTGCGATATCATTTTTTTTTTTTTTGAGTACCGTAGACTAGTACTCAATTATATCTTGGTTATCAATGATATCAGGTNATAGTCACAAAAGTGATAAAAATACCTACAAAAATTATAAATAATAGTGCGGTATCATTTTTTTTTGTTTTTGAGTACCGTAGACTAGTACTCAATTATATCTTGGTTATCAATGATATCAGGTGGTTTCAGAGGATTCAGTGACGTCATATGGACGATGAAAAGCTATAAGAAGGATAGTCATATTACACTCACCTACAACAGTGTTGATGGTGAAGAGGGTATGTTATACATGCCTTTTAGTTCATCTTAGTGGGTTAATTAGTGAACACATGCACATTCATTAATCACATTAATCTGAAATTAAGATTGTCATTCACTAGTTCATATTAAGTTTTTAGAGTAAATAACACTTCAATATGTATCACATATGAATAATACTAGATTGACCAAAAACAAGAATCAAAACTACGGATCAAAATAATGTGATATTTACTATAATCGTGTCGTTCGTCTCATTTTTCACATTTGAAATTTACTTCATCTTTTTTCGTCACGATAATATCACATCATTTGATCTTTGTTTTCGGTACTTTATTCTGGCCAGTTTAACATTACTCATCAAGTGTCCTTGAGAAAATCTGTCACATTGTGTCATGTGTTTGCAATTGTGTAAAGCCATGATTTTTCACAGAACTACTTAACACTGAAATGCTAACAAATTGCCACAGGGTTTCCTGGTGACCTTTCTGTCATGGTAACATACATGTTAATAGAAAGAAACAAGTTAGCCATAAAAATGGAGGCCAAGTCTCTAAACAAGGCCACACCAGTGAACCTAGCTTCACACACCTACTGGAACTTGGGTGGCCACAACAGCGGCGACATCCTCTCGCATACCATTCAGCTTTTTGCCTCCAAGATCACTCCAGTCAATGATGAACTCATCCCCACCGGTGAAATCGCTACTGTGAAGGGAACACCCTATGATTTCCTCCACCCACGCTCGATCAGAAGCAAGTTCAATGACCTTCCCAGTGGTTATGACATAAACTACGTGCTCGATAGTTCGAGCAACAAGCATTTAAAGAAGGTGGCTGTCGTGGAAGAAGGCAAATCGGGGAGAAAGATGGAGCTATGGAGTAATCAGCCTGGTGTTCAGTTTTATACAAGTAATATGTTGAAAGATACTAAGGGAAAAGGTGGGTATGTTTACTCAAAATATGGTGCATTTTGCTTGGAGACACAAGGTTTTCCAGACTCTGTGAATCACCCAAACTTCCCTTCACAGATTGTTAATCCTGGGGAGACTTACAAGCATGTTATGGTTTATAGGTTCACAGCCGACTAGGAAAAAAAAAAAGAAAAAGAAAAAGCATTGCCATAATTAATCGATCTTTTTCGACTATTTTTCGGTTGTTGTATGTAGTAGAGGAACAATCTGATTTATCTTTTCGCTTGTTTATGCTTTTCTTTTCTGTTGGTGTTTAATTCAATAAAAGAAATCCATTCTTCATTCAGTTTGGCCAGTATGATTTAGTGTCCTTTACCCTTCTTTTAAGACAATTGCCCCCACATTTTTCGGATTCGTGATTGCAATGCAAGTTTCTGATATGTACAATCATCAACAAACCACGTATATCTGATCAACTAAGATATCTTTAATAAGACCTACACTTAGGCGCCACAATCTAAGGTGCTTGACGGATTTCTAGTGCAACTTTACTTGGCCATACACTATGAACTTTAATGGGATCCACTCATTCTTATAATTGGTTGGTGATACTTTTATCATTGTCCAATTCATTTCAAAATGATACCTTGGCAAATGATTCCTAAGGCCAATTATTGGGAAACCAATACCAAACAGGTAAATAAAAAGTTCCAAATACACACAGATGATGATGTCGTATGCATTATGGTCAATTGTAGAAAGTGTATAAAAATCAAGCTATAAACCTTCTGATCAATGAGCAGAGGGTGCTGTTGCAGTGGTCTTCTTGAAATCAATCTTGTCAACCTTAACCTCTCCGTCAATAAGTTCATAAACATAGACCACCACACGCAGGCCATCGATGTCCATGAGAACAAAGCTAGGGTTGACATCGTAAGTGATGCTACTGTGTGCACCAGTGGCAGATCCTGGGTTTATAACCACTCCAGCCTCATGCTTGTAAGCCTTGAACTGATGGGTATGACCAGTCACAAGTATGTCTACATCTAGCTTCCTCTGAAGCATGGCCAATGAGTCCAGGTCCCCCCATGGTATAACCTTCATGAGAATAATAAACCAGACACAGATTGTTATGGCTGGATTAGATAACTTACACCAGATTTATAAAAGAGATTCCAACGTAGTGATGAAAAACTAGGGCAATCCTTGAAAAAATAAAAGCTTATGGTGTATTGAAAGCTGTAAATGAAGGGAAAAACAGATGAAAACAAACTTTTTCTTTTCAATAATGTTACATTTGCACTCAAACCCCAAGAAATGTCCTAACTGTTCTTTGCTCAACTGGTCCATTACTCTTTTCCTTCAACTATACTGTTCCTATAAAAAGATCAGAAGACATTAATCAAAGCACTTAACCTAAGGCAAAATTTAATGAGGTAGCCACATTACCAGCCACGCTCCCCCCCCCCCCCAACCACAACAAAAAAAAAGCATAATAAAAGGGGTTGAAGTGGAGAAAGAGTGCTGCTAGGTCAGAGACACGGTAATCTCTTATAATTATGCTACCGTGTAATAACTATCTTATTTACCCAAAAAATTAAAATTATTAGAGTAGTTCTGCAACGAACAGGCTATGAACCAGTCATTGGCACATCATTTAAAAGAATGGCCTTCAAAAAGTGAAACACCACTAGCAAACATAAATTTTGGGATAAGGCTAAGTTCAGCAAGGAACAAAGTATCAACCGAGAGAGGTAAACCTGGTGACCATGGCATATTCCAAGCTTGAATTGACCAATGGTTAGTGTTTTGGTCTCTGGGTAACGTGTCTCTTCATCGTATTCACCTTGAGTGATATGCAGGTCAGGACAAACAGTCCTCAAGTAATCATGAACCTCCTACAAAACATAAAAAGAATGCAACAAATCAGCTTTTACATGTCAGATGTGAATTGAAAAAAACATATATTAAGATGAAATTTGGACACTTCACAAGTAATGAAAATCATAACCTAAATACATCAAAACAGAGGAGTAAGATAACATATTGCACTAATGAAACTGGTCAAAACAATATATTTGTTCACAGAAGATATTAGCTTCGGAATACATCACCATTGGGCATTAAATGAAGCAATATCACCACACCGCGAACGACAAACAAACTCAAGCATCTGGAAGGGACCACTTACAGGTAAGTAGTCCAATCAGTCAAAATTACGACAGCAATATGCTGCATTTCACATGACTGAACTTAGAAGCTGGACATTTTAAGTCAAGGCACACGCATTCAATTCAATGCCCGCAGAAATTCTAAAACTAAGTGAGGTGAAGATGAAAGAGGATATCAAATATATGATTTGCAAGAATGAAGGTTGAAGTGGTGAACATAAAACAGAAAGGAGCCAAAGATATATGACGAACACTGTCAAACAGTGCCCCATCGTATATTATTCTCCATTTTGTCACATCATTTAAAGGGAATATCAAAGTAGCAAAAACCATTGCAAACTGAGCATACAGATTGACAACAGATTTCTAAAGCCAAGGCATCAACAAGATGATATCATGCATGTCATATTTACAGATTGTGTTGTGGAACAATATTTATACAACTATGTGTACATTCATTGGAGAATTAGTTCCATCAAAGAGAACCTAGGTGGAACACAATCAATGGTGAAGAATAAGCACCATGTAGGGTAGTATACACACAGCACACAGGTAAAGTAGGCTCAAATCTGACAAAGACACAGTTTAAGTAGTCTGAAAGAGTGAGTTCATCAGCAAATAGGGAAAGCAAAGATGGGTTTACAAATATTATGACAAACAAAGTTTTTTCAATGGATCTATCAACTATTCTAAGTTATGTTATAAAACTGAAGGTCATGCTACATGGACATGGACTTTCAAACCAAATTTAACATATTTTATGAATCTATCAACTGTTATAACTTGATTCTTCCTGTTTTTAATCTTAGTGCTCAAGACAAGTTGGACAGTCCCCCAAGTGACTGAGAAGGCTGCAAACATGGTCAAATGAATAAATACACATGTACAAATTTAGATTACATATTCTCTTTAGGGAGTGTCAGACAAGACTGTAAGTACCTAAGGAGTGTAAATATCTGGCACAACTATGATATGGACCCATTATAAGTGTCTGTAGTTCAGAGGAGCAGCCTTATCCTATTATCTTCCTCCTTTCACACTGTTCTTTTGTAATTCACTCGTTACAACATACCCTAAACTTAAAGACGATCACTANTTCTGTAGTTCAGAGGAGCAGCCTTATCCTATTATCTTCCTCCTTTCCAACTGTTCTTTTGTAATTCACTCGTTACAACATACCCTAAACTTAAAGACGATCACTATTGCTACAGAAGTTCAAAAGGAACTGCATAGAGTGACAAAGGACAAGAGAAACAAATGCATGGATATCACTACGCTGTTTCTCTTAAAAGAACAAATGATGCCAAAGCTACTAGGCACAACCACAATGTTCAAGTGAAATGTTGATTAGCTGCAGTACATGGCCACAGAGGTAAAACAGACCCACTTCTAAAATCCCATTCATTGTACCATTTCACTCCAATCCTTTCATTTTAGCCTCATTTTTGGAAAACATTACCTTTCGCTGCCTCCCCCTTTTTTATTTTATAAAAGAGCTCCTTGTGGCGAGAATGGGAAGAGGAGTTTCATCCTTATCTCTTCAGTTTCCAAAGCCTACTTAAAATTGGAGTAAACGAACAATAATATGTTTCCTTATTAATATCCCATGAATTCGTGTATAGCGTACTGCAAGTCATATGCGAGTGGCTTTCTAACAAATTGTAAGTTCTTGAGATCAAGAAGAAACATTTTCCGAATTGTGAAAGCATTTTGTAACAACTTCATCTGTAGTTTCCTATCCCAATATATCCATGCAAATAATAGGAACCAACCAAGGACCAATAATAATATCACATGGAAGTCACCACTTCATTCCCATTGCAAACCAATGGAGAGGAAGAAAAAGAAATCACAGTAATTACAATCCTCAAGATCTAAACTGTAAATCCCTGCAACTCTCAACTTTTATCCATTTTTGGATCCCACATGGATTGGTAATATTGAAGATATCAAGTCAACTATGACTAAACCAACAAGTAACAGATTCCATATTTTCCTCAAATGATGGGCAGATTAAATAGCTCCAAGCATGGTTGGGTTCGTAAGTTAGAATCCATTTCACTGCTATAATTAGCACCTTACATAGTTTGCTCCCAGAACCCTCACCCTTGATTAACAGGGATCAGACTAGGTAATGATCCTTTTAATTAGTACTCAACCTAGTTTGCTCTGTAAACGAAGCCAACAATAATGGTTGATCTTAGTAGAGAATTAGAACCTATATCATTCCTTTCTTTTTTCTTTATTAACTCTGCCTTGTTTCAGGAACAAGTAAGTTCAAAACTCAACATNATAGTTTGCTCTGTAAACGAAGCCAACAATAATGGTTGATCTTAGTAGAGAATTAGAACCTATATCATTCCTTTCTTTTTTTCTTTATTAACTCTGCCTTGTTTCAGGAACAAGTAAGTTCAAAACTCAACATAGTGCTCTGTGCAATTCAATGCTTTCATTTTCATAAATTTACTTTAAACCCACAACAGAAAGCTACGAAGAGACCTTTACAAAGATTCAAGAAAGACCCATAATTCTTCCACAAAATTTAGACATCCCCAAACAAATAGAGCAATTGAAAGAGAAGAGAGGACAAAAGTAACCCATTAAACACATATAGCAATATAATTAAGCACACTCACCTTGATACAAAGGTTTCCAGTGCAAATGATGTGCTGGATCTTCCCAGGAACAAGCATGGATTTGAACTTAGGTGGCAGATCAGGTGCCCTATGTGGTATGTGAAGATCGCCTAAGGCCAATACCAGCACCATCCTCCTTTAGATCAGCCCAACGTTCACAAAATTATTACACAGCCCAAAATCTGCAACACCCATAAGATTAATAACCACACACAGCAATCTCAAAACTCGTAGTCAAATCGAACTTCAATATCGAACCCAAAATTCCAAATCAACCAGATCATCTCAAGCTTCAATACATGTATGTAGACAATTATATCATAAAAATCTGTATGTGGTGATGTGAAAATGAAGGTTTGTGGACAAACCTAAAATTTTTGCACAGTCATAAGCCCATGAAGAATTCTCTCTCTCTCTCTCTCTCCCCGTCGCTGACGTTCGCTCAGGTTATTCTCTCTTCATATTCGCCGAGAATCGAGAGACTACACAGAGAAACTTTAGTACACTACCCAAATAACCCTTAAATTATGACATTTATGTGAATTATTAAGTATTTGAATCAATCGAAAGCNTTCGCCGAGAATCGAGAGACTACACAGAGAAACTTTAGTACACTACCCAAATAACCCTTAAATTAACCCTTAAATTATGACATTTATGTGAATTATTAAGTATTTGAATCAATCGAAAGCCTAAAACCTAAATCTCCTTTATACCATTTTTTTTATACCAAAATGAAAAGCTTACTAATTTACTTCATTTAATTGGTATGAAATAGATTTAAGATTATGATTTTAATTCATGAATACAAGGAATGAGGTTCTTCATTTGATAGGTTTCGAACTAACAGTTCTTAATTTGTTGTTTATGTGGTAAACACACGAGACATTCCGTCTAAAAACTTAAAGATTGTTAACATACGGACTTAATTGCTAAAATTTTAAAGTTTAAAGATTTAATTGATACAAAAATTAATTCATAAGCTTAATTGCTAAGATTTTTAAATTTAAGAACTCGGTTGAGACTTAATTGACGAAAGAGTCTTAGTTTAAAGGATATTTGTGTTGTTTACTCGGGAAACATTTATCAAAAATTGGGCAAGTACGATGTCCATTTTAATTAGAGAGGTTTTGTGGCGACATATGATCGTCGATAAAACTAATATTGAAATTACGTAGATTCAAGAAGTTTGCAAGATTCTCCCTCTTAAGAGGAAGAACAAGAAAAAAAAAAAATTTAGTTGGAATATGACTTGATCTCGCAATAGTGCCATAGTGCAAAACATTTGAATATGAAATGGAAAAACATTTGCTATATAGACTAACCTTTAGGAGAAAAAACATGTGATAAGAATGTGACTCAATCCCACAATACGTTTCTTTGAAGCACTAGACGAGGGTGCAGGGCAGAGTTAAAAATTTTGCTTATAATTAGTATTTTAAATATGCATTCTAATTTTTTTTTCTAACTAATCATGCTATATAATATATTTATATTTATTATATCATATTTGATGCATGAAGTTCATTTAACATAAAAAAAGGCCAAAAAAAATATATATATATTGTATATGTACAAAAAATGACTAATTATCACCATCATAAAAAATAGAGTTAATTGTCATTTTTATAATTAAAAAATATAAGTTATTCACTAACAATCCACTAAATTTATTCAATAAATGATGTTCTAAACACACTGAGATATTAATATAGTAAACTGCTAAACTAAAATTTAAGAGCTAAACATAGTAAAACAAGTTTAAAATCAATTGATACATAGTAAAGACTAATGATGCACAAAATGACTTTGCACACCATTTGTTGAGTGTGAGTAATGAATGCAATAATTAATTAGTAAAGAGAGAATGCAAGAATTATAGTGGTTCGGTCAGAGTGACCTACGTCCACTCTTGAATGGCTTCGGTCGCTGGGTACTTTATTAACTCAAGGATGTAGAGATCAGAGAGTAAAAGTTTGGAAGAAGAGGAGAGAATCGTGCTCAAGTAAAAGTGTGATGATGCCCCCTGAGTGTTGGTGGGGACGTACAATTTATAATGGCCCCCTAACGGGTTATGATTACTTTACAACAACTATTTTAGTGGAGCTCACGACTTCCTCTCAACGGGCGAGGTGGTTGAGGCGCTTTCCATGAGATGCGGTCAAAAGATGAGGTGAGAATGGACTGTTTCCTCGGCAGTGCAGGTAAGGTTCCCGTGCTCTCTCTTGATGACGTAGTCAAGCTGATGATTTTGACTGGACTTGGTGGGTGTTTATAAAGTTGAGCTCTTCAATTGAGATTGAGCTTTCTACATAAATTAGGCTATTTGGGTTTGACCTATCATTTGCCCTCCAATGTCCCATGTCCAAAGAAACTTGGAGAAGGGTACATTAGTTTACATCTTAAGTTTTAAATGGTGGAGACGTCCTTTGCTAAATGATTCTTCCCCTACACGATGCATTTTTGCTTTGGTGCATACCTCAAGTTTTTTTCACTTTTGCTTGGATTTTTAAAAGAGCCCACAACTTTTAATTTGGGATTTTCCCTCTTAAAAAATCCTAGGTTATAAATATAACCTTCTTCTTCATTCTATCCATTTCATTCACCTTGAGATTGAACACCCATTCTTGAAAACCTTGAGAGCCCAAGTTCTACCTATTTCCTTGAAACTTGAGAGGGGGAAAGAGTGCTCTTCTTGAATCCTTCCAAGAATATATATATATATATATATATTCCTTTTGAGTGGAATATCCAAATGGGCAATGTCGATTGAGGAGGGAGATGTGCAAAATTTCATTGAAATGGTGGAGATAAAAGGAAGGGAGGTGGTGGGCGCCACCTTAGGCACTAAACTGGGCGCCACTATAGGCGCTGGTTAGGGCAATTTTGAGGAGCTGTCTCACTTAAGGAGGAGTGCAGAGGGCTGTCTGGGCGTCATGACTACTAGGCTGGACCACCTGGGTGTTGAAGGTGTTGTCCTGGATAGTTTGGGCATTGAAAATGTTGTCTTGGACAGCAGCGTGAGGGGCGTGTAGGCTAGAAAGGGGGTTTCCCAGGTCAGCAGGCGAGCTGGGCAACAGCCTGGGCACCAACCTGGGCCTCCTAGACACAGAAAACACTATAGGCATTGATCTGGACACCACTTCAGGCGTTGATCTAGGCGCCATTGGTTCTAATTTGGGCGCTAGAGGTGTTGATTTGTGCAACTTTGGGGGGCCAAACAACACTGGGCTACCCCTTTTGGCAAATAGAGGGGGTCAGACACTTCTCTAGGTGCTGGGTTGCTCGGTTTGGACGAGCATAGGGGGTTAGACACCTCTCCATGAGCTAGCTGGGCTGCCCTATTTGGGCGAGCAGAGGGAGTCAGACACCTCTCTAGATGCGACTCCTTCAAGTGGAACTTCTCAAACCCACATTCCTTAAGACCTCTTAGGTGGTGGCTCAGGCCATTCCTTGCACTCCCGTAGTAAGAAACGCAAAGGCAAAGTGGTACTTGATGATGATGGGTCCAAGGTAAGTACTCTTT